AAAAAAAAAAAAAAAAAAAAGATGGATTTCCCCCTATGGATTTTTGCATATGATCTGTATAGTAGTATGCATATGTTTCTGTGCATGTTCTCTAAACAGTTGTAACACGTCGATGTATTTAACTGTTGCACTTGTCAACTTTCAATAAAGCATCCGCTGTTGGTACCCGCCTGTGCAGTGGTGTTCCCGCGCCGTGCCGCGCTCCGGGAGGCTCCCGGTGTTTTTCCGGAGCCCCAGAGGCCGCTGCGCTCGCTCGTCCGGCCTTGGCTGCTGCTTCCTTGGAGCTGCATTTTCCCGGGATCATCCCGCAGGGCTGGGCGCCCGGGGCTCCGCGCGGCAGCTCCCGCCTGCAGGCAGCGCCCTGGCATCCCTGGACATGGAGAATCCCGCTTGGAACCGAGTCCAGCGGCGCCCGGGGCTCTGCCGCTGCCTCCGTGGCTCGGCCCTCGCTCCACATCCTCCTGCAGCTTCTTGGTGCTTGGACCGGGATGAATCCTCCACACCCGAGAGCTTCCTGCTTCCGCACCCGTCTCCCGCCTGGATGTGGTGCCGCTTCTGCGTGGTGGGAATCCTTGTGAGGGTTTCTTTTTCAGCTTGGTAGGTGAAGGTTGTTTACCACAGTGTTTCCCTTCAGGTTGAGGAGGGAAAAAAGGGTTTGGATGTTTGGATGTTGGATGCAGCCAGTGCAGCTGGGCAAAAAGGAGCTGCTTTGTAGGAGGTGTGAGAGGAGTCGGCCCTGTGCACAGAGCAGGTGAGATAAGAACCAATCCTCCATCTAATGGTGTTTAATAGAGTGTCAGGGTGTTACTTCTGCCTTGAGGAGACCACCTGTATTCCCATTGGAATGGGAGAGCGGATTGGACTTGGCGTGGGGGCTAAGGGCAAAGTTTCCCGGGCTCTCCCCTTCCATGGCATCCTCTATGTGATGAGGAGATCAGCCGTCTGTGCAAATTCCCAGGGTTGGGAATGATCAGGTGCAGCGGCGGGATGGGGATGCCAAGAGCTTAAAGGCAGAGATATTCATTTACTCATTTATTTGTTTATTGTGCAACTTGCACCTGGGTTCCTGCTTGGGGGCTCTGGTCAAGCAACGTTTCTAAGCGCTGCTCGTCTGTATTGTAGATGTGGATGTTGCCTTTACGGGGATTAGGATATCAAAGTAAACGTGTGCGTGTGGGAACGTGGGCTTCATTTGCAGGTTGTGTTGTCAGTGTTTTGGTCTATAAATTAAAGGCGTTTTTAAGAGGGAGCAGAAGAGAAATGGAAGATTTTTTTTTTAATGGATTTAGCTGAAATTAGAAATTGATGATGGCCTTTGTAGCAGAGCAACTCTTGAATTACCTGACAAAAAGAAATGGTAATTTTGCTGTTTTTAATGTGGTTTAATTGTCTTCAGTTGCCTTTATGTCCCGAACACCCCTCTAGCACTTCCAGGCCATAACGCTCAGGGTGTTAAAGGGCCAACCCTGCCGCCCTGGTAGGGTTTTTTCACCTACTTACCAACATTGGCACTTTTTTTCAGTCTTTCTAACACAGTGCCTGGAAGCTTGCAGGTTTAGATTAGATAATAGGTTGACAGTTTTAGTACAGTGTGTTTCCATGTTAGCAAATCATCATTTACTTGGTGCAGGTTTCTTGTTTTTGCAAAGCTATGGAGCTTGTTCATCAGCTGCTAGAGCGAAGCAGAGGAACTTTGTCACCCCGAAGAAGCCCCGTCAGAGCTGGAGCTTCTCCATGCAACTGGTTCCCATTGACTAAAATCCCACTTGAGGCCTGAACGGAGCGTCGCCTTTTCAGCTTGTCGTGTTGTAACACTTCTGGAATGGATGTTTGGATTTTTGCTTTTGTTCTCCAGCAAGTCGTTTTTCAGAGCACTTTAAATCAAATGTTTCTGAGAGCCAGCAGTGCTTCCCGCTTGCTCCCGCTCCTTCCCAACGTTTTTTCCTTTGTAGGAATTCTGAAATCCTCAGGTTTTCACCCAGAGCAAGAGCAAACCTGGGCGTCATCTGCCTTTTTGCCTGCACATCCCTGATGTGGGATGTTCCCTGTGCAGGGATGTTCCCTGCACATCCCTGATCAGTAATTCCTTGGGCGCTATTCACACTGCTAGTCATTTACCTTCCAGCTGACATTTAACCACACACTTTCTTTACCCAAAACAGCAGGTGGTGGACAAATTATCATAAACCTGCTTATTTTTTTAATATAACTTTTTTTTTTTTCCTAATAGATCATTTTTGAGGAAGAATCCTAAGGCAAATCCAGATCCTGAGGGCTCTGTAAATACTTGGGAAAGGGGAACACGCTCCCATCGCACGCCTGAAGACTGTCCAGGGAGGATAGAGGCAGAAGCTCCCGAAGGCGACTGGCCTCTCCCGGGTTCCCATGGAATAAATCCATGCCTGGGAGGCAGCCTCCCGCCTTGCAGCCAGAAGAAGAAAGGCCGGCAGTGGGATTTGGGAATTGCCACCCTTGGTTCCTGCAGTTACAGCGAATGTATTCAGATTAATACAAAGAGTTTTAATTATTGCTCTTTGTTAAGAGTGAAGTGACAGCATTCGAGCTGGCTGAGTGCAAAGTTACACTCGTTTAGCTGAGCATAGTCCATTCAAAAAAGCCCTGGTTTAGTGCCTCAAATACTTTAGGACCAGTTAACACTTTAAGGATGTGGAATTATTTCATGCTTTTCTCCTCTCCCACAATACAGGCCTCGTGTGTTACCTTTCTGGAGAGGTTTCTGCTGGGACGAGCTTGAAACGAGCTACAAATCCGCAGGTTTATCGGAGCAGGGAACGAGGCCAATTCCAGTTGGTGGTGGTCGGCGACGGGCACAACTTCACCTGGGCAGAGGGAGCTCCTGGGAAGCCTGGAGCAAACGCAAGGGTTTAAGCACTTTCCTTGAGGATTCTCTGGAAAACACTTGCTGCTTTGCCCGTGATGAGTAAGAGGAGAGGCTTCCTCCCGCACTCGGCTCGTGCCGAGCGAGGCCGGGGACGGAGTATTTGCAAATCCCGTGGTGAGGAGCAGGCCCTGGCAGCTGCCCTCGTGAATCGGGGCCCAGTTTCCACAAGGAGCAAGGCCAAGCTCGACAGCAATGCTCCAGGCCAGACCGTGGATCAACTGACTTCCTTTTATTGTAAATGCACTGGAAAAGGACAGCGGTTGAGGAGGAAAAATGAGGAAAATGGTGGTGGCTTCTGCTGAAAAGAAGACTTGGGTTGTTGCAGCGCGTGGAGATGTCCACGAGGGAGTCGTGCTGGGCTTTGCCAGCGCTCTGCGGGCAATAATAGAGGGAGTTTTTCAGAAGGGATACTCTGAGGAAGCCCCTGGAATGAAATGTAATGGGAATTTGGATGGAGTGGAACAGCTAGCCAAGGAAAGGGAAAACGATTATCTGAAGTTCTTGAAGATTAGCTTTGATTCTTGAGCTCCACTGGAGGCACGTGGGTTTTCAGCAGTGAGTATGTGGTAACACACAGTGGATGTGGTTCAGGTTGTCGTGATAAAGTGGCTCCAGGCCAGAAAACAAGAGCAACCAACCTTTACGGTCCGATCAGAGCCTGCTGGCCGGGATGGACTGAGCGGGAGCTGTGCTGAAGGTCCTGCTGTGCACTTGGGGCTCTGGAGACATCGGAGAATGTGGCCAGGCTGAGATGCGGCATGTGCAAATTCAGGGCAAATCACAGAGTGGTTGAGGTTGGAAGGGACCTCTAGAGATTATCCAGTCCAGCCCTCTGCTCCAGCAGGGACACCCAGAGCACGGGGCACAGGGCGGCATCCAGGCGGGTTTGGAAGATCTCCAGAGAAGGAGACTCCACAGCCTCCCTGGGCAGCCTGTGCCAGGGCTCTGGCACCCTCACAGGAAAGAAGTTCTTCCTCACATGGAGATGGAACTACCTGTGTTGCAGCTTGCACCCATTGCCCCTTGTCCTGTCAGTGGCCACCACCGAGAAGAGCCTGGCCCCTTCCTCCCTACATTCTCCCCTCAGATGTTTATACATGCTGATAAGATCCCCTCTCAACCTTCTCCAGGGAAAACAGGCCCAACTCACTCGGTCCTGAATCTTGGGAATCTACCTGAATCTTGAGGATAACGAAGGGGTGGAGGAGAAGATTCATCAGCCTCTTTAAAACAAAGTCAAGAGGAAGGAAGATGCTCGACCATCAGAACGGAAGATATCTCTGGTGTTCACCAGGGACTTCGGGGGCAGAGGGAGATGAATGTATTTGCGATATATATATAAATTACTGTCAGCTTCTCTCCAGTGCAGCCTATATTGTGTGTCCAGCAGCTACAGGCTGGGCTTTTGTGCTGCCTCTCAGCCCTCCAAAAAGTCCAGTTTAAAGGGCCTGCTGCATTATGCTCCCCGAGGAGCTGCTCTAAACGGTCGTTGCTCCTTCCATTAGTGTTGTTCGCGGGAAGAAGCCTGTTCTGCCTCTTTGCTGCTGCTTTAATCAAAGCTCTGCTGCCAGATAGCCATCAGAAAGGGCATCTGCAATTCAATGAGATATGTGCTCACCCTCACGATGGCTGCGGAACCGGCCGCTGCAGGAGCACGGTGCCCTCTGTACCAGGGGCTTGGGCTGGATGGGACAACCCATGGGACAACCCATGGGATGGGTTCCCCATGGGAAACTGTTGGGGTTTCATTCCATCCTCTGCCTTGGAGCATAAGCTGGAAGTTCATGGCCGGTCAGGAGCCACCGCATCTGCTCTGCTGCTGCATCTGGGGATTGGTTCCTGCCAAGCTGCGTCTTTCCGCCTTGGGA